CTCATACGCACTATCTCACGCACCTTGCGCAAGGTGACATCAATCTCGCGCGAGATAATTCAATTAATATAATTTTCTACTTGAAAAAAAACTTACGAGAATAGCTTTCGTAAATACTGATCTACCAAATAAAACAAGCTTTGTAATTCTAAATTAAATTTATCCATTTTCTACCATTTTCTTTAGTTAAACCACAAAGTTCTCTGCATTGGTCATAAGTCAGCTATTACTGCCTTAACTATCACAGAAGGGCAAACTGATGGCTGTGTTGGAAATAATTATGTATTAATTAGTGCTTCGGAGGATGGGTAATGGATAATTTGGTTTTTTTTTACCGATCTCAAAAAATGATTGATTGATTTATGAAATACATGAATTATAATCTTTTTTATTAGAGAAGTTATGAAATGGTGTTTATTAGATGGAAGGTGTCTTATGTGCATTCCTAAAGCCTTTGATGGCACGATTAGGAGTATCAAACCATTAGCTACATGTGCTGAGGTACATATAACATTGTCTTTTGAGTTATAGTTATTCGAAGAGTATCTAAGTTTTCTTTCATATCATTGTGGTAACAGACACCTAAATATCTCCTTTGTTCCGGGTTCTCGGACGAGATTACTATATTAGACTATTCATCCTTGGAGGTAATATATTCACAGAATTTAAAATTTATTGTATTCTTGAATTATTATTAATTTGGCGAATATGTGTTAATATTAGATCGTACGAGTTTGGGCTGGCCATAACGATTGGGTTGCTTGTACTCCATTTTATGATTCCGGTAAATACGAAATAAGAAGTGGACTTATATATATTTTTATATGTTTTTTTTTATTGTGCCAATTAGCTAATTCACAACTCTTTTGTATGATTTCGGCAGATGCACGCCAAATAAAGCTTTTATCATCAAATTTTAATGGATTTCTGAAAATCTGGGCATTTGATGAAATCAAACAAACCATTATAAAAGAATATGATAATGTTGGAATACTGCAGGCTCAGGGTGACAAAATTTTAGAATTAATTAGTAACCCATATGATATTGGCGTGATTATGGCTATAACGAATAATTTTGTTATCGTAAGTAACTAATATATCAACTAATCTTTTTTGACATGTAACCAGCTTAATATATATATATATCTTTTTACATTTAGATATTTACAATACGTCGCGGTAAAATGTACAATATGCAAAGTATAAGAAGTCTTAAAAGCGGTGCCTTTTGGGCTAGTGGTTCCTTCTTGACAAAAAATATGATACTAGTTTGCACTCAGGTATAATAAATGATTTTAGTTTCTTTTATAGATATTTAAATATTAGATTTTAATATAATGCTAATATTTACAGACTGGCGATGCGCATTTATACTCTATATCGTGTACGCCACGAAAATATCCGTCTGAAAATGGTCATGTAACGAATCCAGGCTTCATTCCACGTCGTTCATCATTACCTGATTTGAAAAAATCCAATAGGGAGAAACTTTCATTACCAGGCCATTCAAAGTATGACCATATTTTATTATCCTATATATGTATCTAGATTAAATTCTGTAGTCACTTATATTTGTATTATATTGTTATTACAGACCAAAATTATTAGAATCCGTTTATTCAAGAAATAACGGTATTTGGTCACGTTAAAATTGATGGTTATTACTGTTATATTAATAATTAGTGCACTCGTATAATAAATAAATCTTTTATTATAGACTTAATGAATCATGCTAAGATTATTGTATTTGTGACCCCTAATGCCGAGGGGAAGACATGTAGATATTTGATTTCTTTTCACAATCAACTAGAAGGGACGTCATTTTCATGGAAGTTGTTGTCGGCAACTGCACAAGAACATCAAATATGTGATAGACATGTTCAAGAATCTAATTGGGGTTTTGGTAAGTTTATAATAAACTTATGTATTAATTTAATACTATATTATTTAATTATTTTTATTATTAATAATTTGTAGAAACTTCTTTGTCTGATATATGGCCGTTGCGAAATCTTCAAACATCCAAAGTTACTGTTACGACCATGGTGAATGATGACCAGATAGCACTTGGATATGGTGTGTTTAAAGATATTTATATTTATATAGATATTTATATATAGATAAATTTACTCATATATATTTTTATTTTTGTTTACAGAGAATGGGGAAATTCACATCATACCAATCTCTTTAGCATTGACAATGGACCCTCAAGATTCTTCACTAAACGCAGTCAAGATATTGAAAGGACACTTTGGAAGAGTTACATGTATGTACACTCCAAGTTTTACTCATTCTGATCACAAACATTTTGTGTCCGGTGGCGAAGATTGTTCTGTAAGGATATGGAGCTTGGAGTAAGTTATTGGTGCAATAACGCATTAAGAAATTTAATCCATGCTTCTACTTATTTATTGTACTGTTAATCATTGAAAGAATTTGGTTGTTGACATGCATTCCATTAGAAATGGAAAGCGGCTAGCATCATTTACATATCATTCGATGCCTGTGACTCATTTATTTGAGCCGCCTGACGAAACAAGTACGAGAATTAGAGGATGCATAATTTCCATTGCAAAAGATAATTCTTTGGCTATAATTTCTTTGGATGAGATGAGCTGGTAGGAAATATTCATTTATTTTATCTAATTATCCGGAAATTTTTATTATGATATTCACTTTATACCATTACCATGAATACAATAAAAAATAGCTTGTATAATTTTGGCGGTTATTCACATCACATAAGTAAAATTCAATGGAGAATACCTGAAAGTCTTTTGTTATTGTATTATAGTGATGAGTCTGCATATATATGGCAGGTTAGTTATCTCTTCTGAATTAATTATATCAATATTTGGATTTTTATGTTGACTGGGATATTTTTTTAGACACAGACTTCAGAACTATATCAGATTGTTAAAGGTTCGACTGCAAGAGAAATGATTGAAGATAAGACATGGCAAACTAGGTTAGTTTTATATTATATTGAAATCATTAGGCCTCTCAATGTTATGTTCTGAATTTTAATCGTATTGCGATTAATTTAGCACTGTATCGCCTCAAAATCATATGTCATATACAAATGATAAAGTTAAAGCTTTGTCATCAGTCAATTTACAAAAAAATGGTATTTAACACATATTAATAATAAATATTAATTATATATTAATTCTTAATGGATTCAATAAATTTCAGTAAATTGTTCTATTCACCGGAATAATATTAATTTTGTAGGCTCTTCCGATTTTCAAGTTTTTATGATAAATATTAAACAATTAATCAACGATATTTATCATTACCACGTCTCTCAAATTGGCTCAGGAGTTAATTCTCCTGGTATAAATGCGGAAGATTTTGATGAAAAGCAGGATAAATTTTCAAAAATTTTTTCTTGGTCAATTAATGGTGCTTCTCGACAATATATTGCATCGTCATCGCCTTCCATTTCAGAGACTGAGACCCAGGCTATTGACGCGAGCAGTGTTCAAGTCTTAGTATCTGCTTTGATGACATGGGGTATTGAAAACTCTTTAGACCAAATATGTTTAGAGAAGTTAGGTCTTAAGAAACCTTCTAATAAAATAGCGTTTGGATTGAGAGGGTAAGTGGTTTGATAGCTGCTTATCGTTTATTACTGGCTTATTACGATCGTTAACATTATAATTATAATAGGTTTAATGGCAATTTGTCAGTTGCAGCACCTTCTGATGATCATTCTGAGTTCTGGAAAATATCTCAAATGATGACAGCAGCTCATTTATTGTCAATTGTTGGTTTGACACGTCCATTCCTTTTGATGAAAGGTATTTTAAAATTATTATTACATCATAATTTTGTTAATATTAATATAATCTAACTTATATGTTACTATTTTAGGACTGGAGAAATACACTAGTGACATTATCACTCATTATGGCACTATGTTACCTGAATTTGTAGGCACGAGATTTCATCATTCTTCTTTAGCTTTCCTTTCTAAATATTTCCAAGATCCAACTGGTAAGCATATTCGTATTAGCATCACTAAATTAAACAATGATATCAAGATTTCTCCGTTTTTATTTGTAGTGTTCATAATTATGTTATTATAACTAGTTCAAAATTTCGATGACTTTTTTTTTTAATAGAGGATATACGGCATTCGGCAAGGACTCTCTTCTCTGCGGCGTTAACTAGCATGTCATCCATTGAATTACAATCAATCATTGATTATTGGAAACAATTTTGTGAGTGTACTGTTGTCTAACGTGTAATTTATTTGATATGATAGTCACAAACCACTGATTTCATTCTTCAAACCCGATTTAATTTAAGTGCCAGCAGTAACGTCTCAAGATGAGTATGCTAAACAATATATGGCTAAATCAACAATATTATTAGGAATGATAGGTGCAGATCACCCTAAATTTCTATCAAAAAAGTGAGTAATTTAACATATGTAAAATTTCTACTTTAAAATTTAATAATGGCCTTATTTAACACGTGACCAAACTTAATGTACAGAGTCTCTGAGCATACTGCATTATCGCTTATATTGTTATTGCATGAAGACCCAAAATTGGCCCACCGATTAGCAGCACTTGAACTGTGTGGTAAAGGATTTTCAACATGGGAGCCTTATATCCTTTGCTTATTTTTTTAAACACTTGATTTTTTATATATAATATATTTTGTAATGTTGAGCTTAACTCGCTTTAACACATTTTGATGCGGTAGCAGTTGTGAAGACCATACTTGGATTTGCAGTGGATTCCGATACTAATGCAGCAGCAGTGAAAGCCATGGCGCAAAAAGCAATATTTCAAATAGCATCGGTTAACACTCCATTATGTATCTCCACCCTTACCTATGATACTAATAATTCCAAAAAGCCTGCAGAAAAAAATGGATTTTTAAAATTGATATCATTATTTATTCGTAAAAAACCGCTTGTACTTTATAACAGCCTCTCATCATTAGTAGAAGCAGTGGTTAAATCATTAGACCCAAATATTCCCAAAATGCGGGATACGGTTCTACAAACTACGACAAACGTTTTACATGATTTAGTAAAAACATTTCCTTCAATTTCATTTCATGGTGCAACACAGAAGCTTGCGGTTGGAACACAGGAAGGAGCATCTATTATATATGACTTAAGGACAGCAACACGATGGCACATACTGGAGGTATGTAAATAAGAGCTGTTGATATTTCATATAATGGCAATAGTGGCAAACAATTAAAGGTGTTATTTTCACAGGGCCATACAAGAGCAGTTACAGCAGTAACATTTTCATCTGATGGGAAATTCATAGTATCATGTTCACTTGAAGAAGGAACGGTTCGAGTATGGAACCCAAGTCCTGGAATTTTAGGAATTCTAGCTGGATCGTTAACTAATGGCAATATGGGTAGCAATTCAGATGGTAAAAGATTTAAATCATTATCGACATCCACGAATCCTTGTAAAACATTTAGATTCAATCTTGGAGATGATGGTTTGTAACAATTTAATTTGTTTTTTTATATTTGATAGTGCTTCAAACGGAATGCGGATTGGATCACATAATAATTTGCAAATCCGTGATCTGTTCGTGGCATTGATAATTATCTTTATTAACAATTTAATTTTATTCAAATAGCGAATTTGCCAATTTCATCGATTTTGGATACTGTATACTTTGAATGGGCAGTTGAAAAAACAGTTAAATTGCACGTTGAAAATACTATAATGTCTTTTAATATATAAAATTGAATTATTGATTAGTATCAGATAAATTGTTATATAGATATATACATCATTTTTAATATGTAAAACTATAAAAATTTTTATTTAAATTCATTATAATAAATCATTATATATTTATGACTATCGCTATGATTAATAACAAAATTATGGGTTCTGAAATTTTGTAAATTATTACTTATTTTTTCTAATACGTACGTGGCTGTACGTAGCGCTGAATAATCAATTAACCAAAGCTGGTGATCTGCAAAATTTTTGACTCGCATTACTAATTTCCGGCCGGAACTAATTTTTTGATTTTTTCATTACAAAAATAGAAATTTTTGAAAAATTAGCCCGCACTGAACAATTTTCACTTAATGGCGGTTACTATTTCATTAGTAAAATTCCGGCCTAATTTTTTTGATCCGCGAAATTTTGTTGCAGCTAGGGTTAATAATTAATTGTTGACCTCGGTGTTATTGAGTATATGTTCTCGAAGTTCCAATAGTAAAAGGTTTCATAAGCTAAATCCATCTTGTTGACATAATGAAAAATATTATTGCTTTAATGAGTGATATGTGATACTTGGTCAAGGTTTATAAAGATTTGTGTGCATGGAGATTTCGTACAAAATATTAGACTAAGCATAAATGCTCGGGTTTGGTCACGTGATAACGGTCGTAATTTTCACTAAATTGAAATTTTCAAATAAATCAGATATCTCAATATCTGCCTAATCAAATTCGATAAACTTTGAATTCTACAGTTAATACAATTCAAATAAACAAAGTTTCAAACTTTAAAGCAGCTTCTATTTTGATAGGCGTTTTTAACGAAGAATATCTCGACAACTAACTGATAAAATTCATGAAAATTTTTGTTTGAATTCTATGATTCCATAGAGTTCAAATAAAAAAGTTCATCGAATTTAGTCAATTGGTTGTCGAAATATTTTCGCTCAAAGTTAAGAAAAAAAATTCTAAATACCTATCAAAATAGAAGCTGCTCAAAATTTAAGTCACTTGACCAAAAATAATGTAATTTTGAATTTTGGCCTAAATTAAGCTTAATTCGGGCTATTACTCTAAATAAAACCAAAGGCCGTTATTTTGCGACAATACGGTATTTAAATTCTAAAAATTCATAAATTCAAATAAAAAAAAGTCTAATTGAATTTAATAAAGTAGTTGTTAAGATATCTTTACTCAAAGTTTTAAAGAAAAATCAAAACGTGTGTTAAAATAAGAACTACGTTGAATTTTTTCTCAAGCTTTGAGCGAAAATATCTATAATAATCAAAAGAATTTACTTTTAATAATAATATATATAACAACTTTAATATAATAAGCTTTCTTTACAAATATTCAGAAGATGAGAAATATTTCATATTGGCAGATTGCGGAATTGAGTCAAAATTAACAAATATGTAGGTAAGGTTGTTGTTAAAACTTACGTATATACCTGACAATTTAATTTACGTAGTAAGTTACATGTACTGTATCTTACGTTAGTAATAGTAAGTGTAAGTTACAGTAACTTACATGTAAGTTAACAACCCTATATGTAGGACGTATAATAGCTCAAAATCTATGAACCCTGATTTAGGCCCAATTTCGCAAAAATTTGTTCAGATTTTTATTGTAAGGTCAACTTAACATACGTACAAATCCGAAAAAAAAGATGAAAACTCAAATTTGCTATGGAAACTAGCTTCCTGACATTAATAGGTAAAAGTTTTCGGTACAAAGATTTAGATATATTGTATCTATATTATATTTTTTTTTTGCGCCATAGCCATGGTATATACCTTTAAAAATCGACGCACTACAGATTTAATCCTTATAATCTAGAATGTAAATTTTGCAAAATTTTTGAATTTACACAAGTATTTTATTGTTTATAAATTTGTACATTGTATCCTGACTCAAACTAAACTCACTAAAAAGTTGATTGTGTGTCAAAAAACTAATTGAATCATAAATATTAATTTCTCACAGTAACTAAATCTGTCATTGCGTGCCTTCTTTTTACTACAACGATGATAATAAAGAAAACCAATTTTGCTTGAGAAGAAAAAAATAAAAGATTTAATAAAATCATAATAATAAAATTGTTACGCATCATTGACATATAGAAGTATCCAAGAAAAAATCTCCACAGTGGTCAATAAAATTATAACTTGTTACCGGTACGCTATTTGAGCAATACTATAGTTAAAATAAAAATTGTTAGTAAAAATGTTAACAGATAATTGGTTTCAATAATAATAATAATATTATTATTATTAAAATAATAATAATAAAAATAATAAAATAATAATACTAATAAAATAATAATAATAATAATAAAATAATAATAATAATAATAAAATAATACGTAATAATAATAATAATAATAAAATAATAGTAATAATAATAATATAATAATAATAATAATAATAATAATAATAAAATAATAATACCGGATTCTCGTTTCCAATACATGTAACAGTTGAAGCTGGATTAGAATTGGGTAACCATATTTCAACTCCGGGATGCTCCCAAAATGAAATTGCATAAGCAGCAATATTCCCTTGAAATACTGATGCCCAAATATCACCAAAAAGTGAAGCACACTCTAAAATTTCCAGTGGAAGAAGTTTCCATGTGAAAACAAAAGCAACCGAGTCACATAGAGCAGTTTCAACAAGAGTATGACAGTTGAACACGATTTTCGGTGGAAAATGGGAAACAGGGTCTCCCTTGTAAACAACACGTCTTATAAAAGGCTATTTTGTTGAGACATTTTATAAGATTTACAAATTTAATAACATTTTCTTATAATTAAAAAAATTTACATACCAATTGTTGATTTACATACATTGCAAAATCTGGATTCCCGACTCGTGGAGAATTAAACGTATATAGAGCAGGAACTGGATATGGTGCAAACTCTTGTGCAATATCAAGGGCTTCTAGCATGGCAAATGCTATACAGCTCAGAAAAGTTAGACTATGTTATGTCAAAATAATAATAATAATAATAATAATAATAATAATAATAATAATAATAATAATAATAATAATAATAATAATAAAAATTTACCTCCTCCTAAACTATGTCCGGTGACTGCGATACTGTAGTATATGTTGGATAACGTTGCAATCTTATTTTTAGTGCATCTAAAATAGGCTGATGGAAATTTCGCCATCCTTGATAGAAACCAGGATAAACTAATGCATTGTCAGTGTGTTTGGTATTTGATTGCGCTATTTCATTCTCACCAAACTTATACACATCAGGATTTTCGAAACAAAAAGAGGCGTCATCCAAAAACGTGTCTGGATCCGCCAGCACTGATCCGCGAAAGGCGATAATCGACTGTAATGTAAGCAACCAAATTATCTACTTCCACAAACATATATTCTGAAAGACAATATAAAAAAATTAGATATATTTCTGTAATAATTTATTTACCATAAAGTTAATGGTAAACTAACGAATTTGGCCCCAAAGAGTAGTTGTATCTGGAATGGATATCACTTGCACATCAACAATGTTAGGAATATTTTTACAAGAGTCACATTCCCATCTTGAGAGATCATTTTCATCTTCATATGCAGCTGAACAAAATCTTTGATACCGCGTAAGATTAAGGTCTTCTGAAAGTGTTTCAGGAAATACAGTATCAGAAAGAGCTGGAACGGGGAAGTCACCACGTCTAGTCAAATTTGGCCTGGGTAGGCAGGAGATAATTTGAATGAACTCAATCAAAATGAAAAAAACAATCTGGATCATCTTGCTAAAAAGTATGTACGGACGTACTGATCTAAGGTTTCGTTTCCAGCATAAATATACAGGTTGGTAGTTACCCAAAAGTCTGTTTTATTTTTACATAGATCTATGTAAAATTTTTACATAAAGTTATGTGGAATTTTTATTTAAACTTATATAAACCCAATGTGGATTTATACAGCTATTTATATAAATCTATATATATTTCTATATAGTTTATGTAAAATTGCAAAAATTTAATTTAAATATCAAAGCTAGGATTGGGTTTGGGAAAGTTTTCGGGCGAACTGATCATTTTTACTTACCTTAACCACTTTTGAAAAATAGCTAAAGCAAATTAAATTATTTTCATGTATATAGTTATAAATAAAAGAGAATTTCTAAATTTACACTCGAGTATAATTTGTAGATCGGTATTTTTTTTTTAAAAGTTAAATTTATACGTACTAAAATTTCGCGTAGATTTTTTTTTTTGTGATCCATAAGCAAAATTTTGAGTTATTATACGTAACTTTGTTTCATATACTAGTGTACAAATAGAAACTTCCTAGCATACTGTATAAGTATTATAGTTGCTTTATTCTTTATTTAAAAAAAAAAAATTATTTACTGCATAATGTTTGTTCTATTTTTTTATTTTTTATTTTTTTGGATGTTTATTTTACCCGAAGACTTGCCAAATATTATAAAAATATTAAATAAAATTAAATACTTATTAATATCATGTACATAACCTAAAAAATCTTAGAAACTATTGGTCGAATTTATGGACCTTTTTTTGGAGCTTGTCTAGTGATACAAAATTTCGCAAATTGCTTCTTCAACCTGCTGTGGGATATAACTGTATCTTAAAATAATTTTTTCCAAGTTTTATAAAAATTTTCAACTGGACAAATTTGTGTTCCTAAATTGTCTCCAGTTTGCTTAAATTAAACGAAGTTCTTCAACTATATTTGTATAAAGAATATTGAAAACATGAGTACCCGATGTTTAAGATTCGGGTTATATGGAGGGTTCATATCGACTTTATTCATGTTTATTTAATTTTGGCTAACATATATTTCAAGATTTGATCAAAAGACTCACTATTCTAAAGTTATATCTATGGTTTCATGGATATTTTTGAAGAAAAAGGTTATAAAAAATTCATTAATTAATAAGCTAAAATTTCGATTATGTTTTATTTATTTATACCAAGATGAAATCACGTTATTATTACTGATTTAAATCACCTATGTTTATAAATTGACTAATGTTCTTTATAAATTTTATTATGTATATGTCTAACCATCATCCAAACATAACCTAGAATTTGCAAACTTGCCATTCTAGTTGTCTGTTAACCATACACTTCGTAATTTGTAATTTACATTACTACAGTTCCTAGTAATAATAAATCATATATTAAGTTATAGAAAATTACTACATATCACCACTGGTGATCATCGCCAGTCCTAAGATTTGTTTAGGGTTAGGGTTAGAAATTAGAGAATTATTTTTTTTTTTATAATAATATAAAGCTAATATAAGATCCCGATTTTAGTTCTCATGAGGTTTTCAGGGTTTCTGAACATTTTTACTTAGAGTACCTGATCCCGTTTACTTAGTACGTTTTTGAGATATAGCAACATCGGTGATGATCGCATTTATATAACTTTATACAGTGAAACCTCTCTAAGTTAGCGTACACTTAGGGAGGGTGTGCATTTATAGAATTAGTATTTTTTTCTACTCTACTACAACAATTAACAGTATTCCGAGTCTTTCCAATAACCATGCTCGTCTTTTATGTCTATTTATTATATACCTCTCCGAGAATATCCGACAAAATTACCATTCCAATTGGTAGAACGTTTATATTGATCACATGCGTGCATTTATAGAGGGTGCAAGTATAGGTCCGGGCTGTAAAAACCTATGCACGTGCAAAGGTTGGGGGTGCACTTAGCCAAGCTTGGAACCGGGCTATAGTGTGGTTTCGCTGTATATAGAACTACAGTATATAAGTTTTATAAAAAATTGGACTTCGTGATGTAATATAAACATTGAAATTGAATATTTCCTAAATAATTAATATAAATTGTGTATGTAAATATTTTATTAAACTCGATAATTTAAACCATATACGTATAGTGATAATTTTTAATGTACTACTTGATTACAAAGCTAACTTTATAAAATTGAATTAATATAATGTATACCTTACAACAAGTCATGCGCTTGCCCATGTGATGGGAGTTTTTTTTAGCCGATTCTGGGTCTTTACCCCGCAAATTATTCTTCATTATCGTTATAATTGTTTTTTGTAAGTTTTTGGGTCATCTGATAAAAAAATTATCCTGTTATTGCCGGTTTGATAAGTTTGTGATTTCGGTTATGATCGATATATGAATGAGCAAAGAAAAACCTGTTATCGGAGTTTCAATTATATTTTGTACCGGATACATTCTGTTAGTTTATTGGAGATTATGTTACAAAAAAATATAATTGAACGCCCTGACCCTGACAGATTTTCTCGTATATAATGCATATTGATTTGACATATGTTGATTAAATTTATCCAATGTAAATATTTTTAAAACTTTAATGATCGAAAAATCTGATTACAGTCAAACCTCCCTAAGTGCACCCCCTTTGGGACCATAGGAAAAAAATTGAAAAATGTGCATTTATAGAGAGTAAAATATATAGAGCTCTCAAACTGAGTCCGAACTATACCGCGCATTTAGAGAGGGTTTACATAATCCGTGCACTTAGGGAAGTCCACTTAGGGAGGTCTGACTGTAGTACTGTATTTGTATGAGTTACAATCGAGAATGGAACTTTGGTTAGGACATTAAATTAGTCTAACAATTGGAGAGTTCTATATAATACGAATAAAGAAGCATATATTTAAATGTGTACAATATTCATAATTTATATATATATATTTTGTTAACAACTACTTTTGCAATATATTTATTATGAAAGTTTATCTTATACGTATCAAAATCCTTTTTTATGTTTTTTGTTAAGATTTGTTGGTTGGCCAAAACTTTTTTACAATATTTCCATACGGACTAAATCACCAAGTTATACTGATATGTATTCAAGTGAAAATTTAATGTTGAATGTGCAATACTGGTCAAAGTTTATCATTATATATTAAAGAATAAATATCATACTGTATAATTAAAAGTATATCCCTGTCAAATCTAAAACTTATAGATTCGGTCAAAAATCATTCCTTAAGAATAATTTACTGGAAGATGAATTTATATGGGAACGTATACGAAGAATTGCTTATTTGAATTGATAGCATAATTATTTTTGTAATCTCAGGATATATATATATCGGAATCAGGTCTATTCTTTTTGCGGTTTGCAATTTGTTTAAGCATAATAGTATGTGCTTGAAAATAAATTTTAATTAAGAATTCGAGTTAATATTGTAGAAATGAATTGCGGCAAGATTTTTATTTATTTAAGCATCACAATGGGATATGTATTAAAGTATGTTTGTGATTGTAAGGTAAATTTATCTTTGTTTGAGTATCTCATGTTAGTTATATAGTTGTCATCCAAACTGCAAATTCTCAAATGCCTATACAAATTTCAATTCCAAATAGAAAACCAAACTGGAATATTACATTTGGGCGGCTATAATCCAAATCTTAGTCAAATCCCAAATTCCAAACCAGGTCAAAATCTCGAACATTCTAATATCAGCCTTCGATTTATCCCTACCATTTCTGCTTGAGCATTTACATCCCAGAGATCATTAACAACCTTAGATCTTTTATCGTTCGTTTAAAAAAATATAAATATTATATAGTAACTATTAGTTTATCAACTTGTTATAGAGAATCCTAATATGCTCAAGCCATAAGATAATCACGAAAATCACGAACTCTTTGTGGGCATGACGGGTCCCAAAGTAGTCCGTTGAGCATTGCTCATCAACAGGCACGACGGACTTTCCCACTGCAAGCTAGGGATGGTTAGGTTGGTTTAGGTTCGGTTTTTGGTTTGGAACCTTTAGGTTCCATTTCAAAAACCTAAGAACCT